AGTTTTTTACGTTTTCAAGTAAATATTTGCATTTTGCATAAACATCTAGCTAAAGCATAAAACAAATTCAAATAATTAAAACATCAGAAATCACGATTCCTCTCACACATAGTTYGAAATAATGGCGTATAGGTACACATGGTAGATATAAATACAGTTTTTATAGTGTACCCATACACCTACGCAGTTTTGATGATTTTTTTTAATACTTAAAAAAAAAATGTATAGAACAAGGCTAATGTCTTGTTATCAGCTATCCAAGCTTTGTAATCGGATGGAGCACTTCTTCGATTTTAGGTAAGTTATATTTCAGTAATAAATAATGAAATAACAAATATTGTCAATATTAAATACTTACATAGGTACTTCAGAAGTTGTAATGTTAGCTTGTTAAAATATTAATTTAATTTAATTAAAGGTTTTATAAAGTCAAACTTCTTTAAATTGTTTAAAGTGAAACCACAAAAAAAAACTTAAAATTTGGTTAGGCTTTAAGGTTCTTATTTTTCATGTATGAACCACGATTCTCTAGGCGAAGTTCCCCCTTATAGAGCCCATAAAAAAGTCATTTTGATGAAAAATTAATTTTCATGGAATTGTATTAATTCAATATGAGTTTCCGTATAAATTAACACACAATATTGATGTAGTTAAATAGCCTTTATCCAAAACGCCGTTTGGTGTACCTAATCATAATTTCATAAATGAAAAATGCATATAAAATACTGTTCTTATAGAATATGAGATTAAGTATATTTGGTTTAAAAATGAAAAAAAAAACGTATTAAGTTAACATATAATGTTTTTGATTACCATTATTTAGAACAACGGATTTTAATAGTCATGCTTTCGAACAATATATTTAATAAATATGATAATATTTTTTTATTTATTTGGTACAGTTTAAAAATAATATTATTAAAAATATAATATTTGAAGATATTATAGAATATTTATGGAAATAGAAATCATAAATATATAAGTAAAGGATTTTAAAAACGTAGTTTAAGTAAATATAGTATAGGTGATATAATTTTTAATTTTATAAAATTTGTTTTTATTTTGTTTGTGTTATTTTTATTTTTATTTATTTTTTATAATTAATGAGTATTCATTATTCTGATCGTTATTTTATAAGAAATAATTTTAAGTCTAACAAGATAACATTAGATCCGGTATACCTTAGCGTTTGTAGGTGAACCTCAGTTCTTTTTATTAAGACCTAAAGGTAACGGAGAAAAGATAGTCGTTTGGAAAAAACCTCTCATTTTGACTTAGTTATGACTAATAACTAATAACATATAAACTTAGATTTACTTCTAATTCATATGTATACTCATGATCAAATTGGGCATTGCTATCGATAATCAATTTTGTGTAATAAATCATAAATTCGTTCCATACTTCTTTTTGACTATTAAACATCCACATGTCTATTTCTTTACTACCAGTTATCTGTTTATTCAAAAATTTTGATACACTTCGTTTCACAAAATCTATAATTGTGTATGGTATCTGATGAGTAAAAAAAAAATGATATTATTTTTGTACAGCTAGGTACTATTAAATCGAAACTATTACATTTCCATTTGCATTGAAAATTCTTTTATTGTTCTCAATTGATTTTACAATAATCTTCAGCGTACTTACTAACGCTGTTGTAATGTAATCTTCCACAAACGCATCACTGTCTGCTTCGGATCGAATATAATGACATCTCGGAAACATCAAATTTGTCACAGCATTTTTGTAAGATTCCAAACATTGTGCCAAACCATTCTATATGGTAATCTAATGATTAATTAATCACCTTGGTAATGCGCATAAGCGTTATGGAGCGTTATACATGTTYAACTATAATACAAACCTAATCAATTTACATTAGCTGTATCATAAGTGTGTTAAAATAATTACATCTCATAATTAACGACTAGCGATAAACGATATATGAAATTAAGCATTTTATTCACTGTAAACAAAAGTGGTTGGTTAATATTTTGGGTATATTTACTAGATTTCTTTAAAAATGTGTATTAATAATTCATTACACCTAACGAAATGTAGACCCTCAACAATTTCAACCACTTGTTCACATCGAATATAATGAAAATAAAATATATTTTATCAATATAATTATCCATTTAAAAAAAAAAAAGTTGATAGTGTTGTATAGTCCTGGACGTTTAAATGAAACAACAGAACGATCTATTAACGAGAAAGAATTAATTTATTTGGAAATTATGATAGTTATAATCATAGGTAGTAAAAAGTATAGTTTGATATAAAGATATTTTTAATTGTGTTGGATAAAATTTTAAGGTAGGTATGTGAAGTTTTATTATTTTAAGGGGGTTGGAGCATGACATGTTTTAAGAAGTAATATTTAGGCATTTCATATATCATTTATATTTGTTCTGTGTTTTAGTATGAAATGTAAGTGAATGTTAGTATGTTTAAATCATAAACTTGAGTTATCTAGATACCGGGTACCGATGGATTACATATTATTAATTGCGCTGTCACTTATCAAATACCTGCTAGTTATTACCTTATAATATTAGGAAAATTGTTCTTTTCAATCATGTCCCACTATCCTCTTAACACAAATTTGTAGTTTAATTACTGTCAAGTGGGTCTTAATTTAAAACAAAAAAGTTATGCAAATAGTTTAGGATTAATTTCASAATAATATCTCATAAGAGATTCATGCCATAAACACGCAATCTGAAAGAACTATCATTCTTAGTTTCATAGTTTATTTCAAGTATACGTGTGGATCRAAGATGAACAATACAGAAAATATTCTCAGTTGAATAGTATTATTTCATTCCTATTTTATACTTATTATTATAGATGAACCAGTCATTTTAAAATAATTTCTTGATAAGTAAGCCAATTTTAATAACTAATATCTAGTTGTAAATAGGTATACGTATATAGGTAGTTATAGGTACTTTAGTACAAAACACGTGTCTTGTCATCTGACTGACAGATGTCAATTCACTTAAATTGGACCAATTAATCAACCGTTTTCTAGTGACGAAAATAAAATCCGATTTTTTATCTTTAAGAATACTCCACGACTGTGCGCTTCTCAGTCGCTCCATGATAGCTTCATTTTCATTGATCGGCGATATCAGTGGAGGCGATTCGATCCAATTTACCATATATGCTAGAAATTTAAATTGTACCCATAACAATTTGTAGGATTAGATATTTAATTGCTCTTCTTATACGTGAATATTGTTGAAATATTTACGTGCTGATTTTAAATAATAAGAATAATTTGTTGGCGGTCTGTACGGATCTCGTTTTTCCACCCAACCACGATTTTTCAGCTCTAGAGAAATTGTTGGAAAATATCCTAGTACCGAAAATATTTTTTGATCCTGAAAATAATAAAAAAAACGATTCATTAACGATACATGTATACTATGTACGTTGATAACATTGGAATTTTAATAATATTACAGTCATGTATCGATTTCATATTCAATGTATTTTAATATTATTCGTATTGTGTAACTATTTCTATTAAAATGTTTAATCTTTTTATCTATTTTAGTTTCTATTGTACCTTTATAGCATTCAACGTCCGACTAGTGACATTGGTCAGCGACTCAAAATCTAATGATGCGTTTAAAGAGGTATAATCTAATAAATTATAGTTACACTCTTTTATCAATGCTTTATGAAGTGCTTGAATATAGTTTTTAGAATTTAGCTGGTATTTGGTATTAAGGCAAATTGTTTTTGAAAGCTCCGGGTTTTCTGATTCATCTTTTACTTCTAGAATTTGATTAGATCCGTTTTGTTTATTATTTGTTATACTGTTGTTTGTGGTTATACATTGTTTTACGTCATTGTCGAGCTCAATACTTGAATTATGATTATAAGTGTTTTCAAGAATTTCGACATTAGCAATTTGATTAGGCATGCTAAGTGCATGGGATTTTGTTTTTTCTTTTGGATTTACTAACGGTTTATTATCATTCCGAGGAATCAACGTCTTTCTTTTACTGGTGTTRTTATTAGAATCCATTATGTGTTCTTTCGCCTTTCGTGTAAATAAATAATTTGTGTAAATTTTGAAACTAATATAAAATTTGATTTAATATACTTAATTAGTATATTTGTTATTCAAGATAAAATTACGGCGTTTGTATCTATGGTAATATAGTTATCGCAATTTATATTTTATCATAATATTAGTGTTGGCGCCGGGAACGTATCAATAATAGTCCGTGCGCCCGGTCTTCGTTTACTTCGTACGCTACACACCGACCGACCTATGTATATCAATATTATAATATTATGTGTATATATGTATAACACTTAACAGAAGGTGGACAGGGTCGCAGAGCAAATCTTATGAGTGCTAGTGTGAAGGTGGTGTGTGTAGGTGTGTATGTATGTGTGTGGATACTTAAACTAATAATAAAAATCAGTTGCTGTATTGTACACATATTTAATAATTCACAAATAATATAAAAAATCACAGCAACCAAAGGTTATAAAATTATAGTAATATGGCCCTCTTGGCCCAACATATAAAAATATAATAAATATAAAGGTTGCGGCCCTTCTGGCCCGGCCGAATATAATATATATAAAAATAATATAGTTAGATATCTGAGCAGTAATTCGTGTAATATGACCTACTGGCTCAATAGTATAAATTTATAATACGATATTAACTAATAAGTGGCCCTCCTGGCGCAACAAAGTATAATAAGTGCTGCTATATGAGCTGGTATAAATTATTAAATATAAATAATAGTAATATAAGTAAAAAACTCACAATTTTGTCGGTGCTCGGCTACCCTAACTCTTCCATTTGATCCCGGATGCACCTGCACTATACGAGCTAACTTCCATCTCATCGGTGCGGTATTATCCTCCTTGACTATGACAATATCATTTACCTTTAATGGTTCAACTCCTTATGTCCATTTGCCTCTAGTCTGAAGMTGCGGCAGATACTCTTCGTGCCACCATTTTCAAAAATCTTGAATAAGGAATTGCACGAACCTCCATCGACGTAGTCCATTTGCTTGCTCTTGAGATAAATCTGGTTTCGKATGCCTAAGCATTGGTCCTCCTATAAGGAAGTGGGCTGGAGTCAGTGGTTGCAGGTCATTCGGATCATTGCTCATAGGTGTGAGAGGCCGTGAATTGAGACATGCTTCAATTTGGCATAATAATGTTTGTAGTTCAATAAGTGTTAGCTTGGTTTCCTTCAGAACCTGGGTTAGATTATATTTGGCACTCTTTAATGCGCTTTCCCAAAGCCTTCCAAAATGGGGCGCTGAAGGCGGGTTGAAGCGCCATGTAATACCTTCTTCAACTGAAACACCTTCAATATTTTTGAGATAGGCTGCTAGCTCTCTTTGGGTACCGACGAAATTTGTCCCATTATCACTCCATATTTCTGCTGGTTTTCCTTTACGAGACATAAATCTTCTAAGTGTTGCGGTAAATGAGTTGCTTGTTAGGTCTTCTATCACTTCAGTATGTATAGCCTTGGTGGCTAAACAAATAAAAATCGCTATCCAAGCCTTCATGTTTACTCTTCCACGAACGCCACTTCTTATAATTAAGGGTCCGGCCAAATATACTCCAGTTATGCCGAATGGTCGAGAACACTGTACTCTCTGCTGCGGCAGTGGGGCCATCAATGTCATTTGAAAAGTTGGTTTGGTTCTGGTGCATTGKACACAATGTAGTATTGTTGAACGTGCTGCTAATCTACCCTTAAGTGGCCAGTACAAATTGCGTATCTCTGAAAGCAGAAGCTGTGGTCCGCAGTGAAGCATTTTCTGATGATGAGTTTGGAAAATTAACCTAGTGACTTTATGGTTATATAGCAGCACAACTGGGTGTCTTTTCTCACTTCTTAGATTTGAATTTTGTAAACGACCTCCAACTAAGATTAACCCATCCTTCARGAGTCTTCAGCGGGCTGTTTCGTTCAATGTCTCTTCCCATGTTCAGCTGTTTCAATTCGACATGAAATGTATCGTTTCGTGCTCTTTTTAAAATTATAACTTCAGCCGATTTGATCTCCTTTAACGTCAGGAAACCTCACAGTTATATTGCTCTCTTGGTTTTGAGATAGTTAGAAAACCGTGATAACCAGGCAACCGCGCGAACAATTGATCGCTAATTCGAATATGTGTTGATAATGTCCATTGATCCCTCGATTGCAACCAAAACCAGTTTGACGGGGCGTTGTTCTGGGAGTTAATCGGATGGTGTTAATTGAATTATTGGATGTGACCATTGAGTTTCAGGCAAGCAGAGATAGAATGGGCCGTTCCACCACATCGTACATCGTGCGAGCTCCTGTGCGTCAATCCCACGAGATATTATATCTGCTGGRTTATCCTTGGTGTTTATATATTGCCACTGAGATGCATCTGTTCCTTCTAATATTTGYTCCACCCTATTGGCAACATACGTCTTGAGTCTACTTGATTCACTGTTCAACCAACCAAGAACCACCATAGAATCAGACCAAAGTTTAAAAAGCCTTACGTCTGTTCCCCAAGACTGCGCTATTTTAACAGACAATTGAACGAGTAATAATGCTCCACATAACATGGTCATGAAGTTAGCCTCCCAYTTTGGCCGATTCACTTCAAACCGACGCCAATATTTAGCAAATTAATTGCAAATAATTGYAAATTGATTTTTGGAATTTGTAAATCAAGTGCAAAGTCACAAATCAATAAATACGTTTGGGGAGGCTAACTTCATTCAGTCCACCCACTTTGTCCGATCCGTTCCAAACCAACGTCAATATTTAGCAAATTAATTGCAAATAATTGCAAATTGATTTTTGGAATTTGCAAATCAAAATTCTAATTTTGGCGAATTTTTTTCTAAATTTCATCAGCCCCCCCCCCTCCAACTTTGTCCTATCTTTATTCGCATTAAAATTGTCTTTTTTTATTATTTTGGGCATTTCCCTAACGCTTTTAAAAAGTACTATTTATAGGTGTTATCTAACTTTAACCTTCGTAATGCAACAAGAATATTCAATTTGGTACCGAAAACCACCCCTGAAGTCAAATCTGTACCATTATGTTGACAAGTTATCGTRTAGTCATGTAATTATCAATGTCAAATCAATACACTAATCGGAGATAACTGAGTGTTCAGAATCTAAAAAGTAAAAATCTATTTGTAATTAGTATGTATCTGTAAAACAGTTTTTTCAACTTTCTCAAATAATATCAATATTATGTTTATATAGACAATTAATAGACTACTCACTATTATAAAACTACAAATAAATAATCACTTTCTGAAAATAATAGAAGGTTGAATTAGTTAATGTTTTTAACTAATCCCATTTAAACAATATATCTATAGGTAACTGCACCAATGAATGAACACACAAGCACTATTCAAACTTCAAGTAATGATATAATAGACATTTTTGGTATTCAAGGTTATTTGAAATGTACTTTCCATTCATTGAATAATTCTATGCAAGAATATTATAAAATTTATTTTAAATTAGTTATCAATAAATAATTAAAAATTAATAAACCAAAAAAAACATCATTTCCTAGTAAATGAACATATTGATCCCGTGAATGAACATCTAATACCCAGTGAATGAACAAGCAATATTTTTGCTGAAAATGTAACTATGGTTTGAACTATAACTCTTAATAATATATTTATTAGGTTAGGTAATAAAAAATTGATAGTTGTACACTGTATATCACTGTATATAGTAATATATTTATGCTTATAAAATCCAAATAATATTTAAAATACATAAAATATTGCCAATTTAACAATTTTTATTATAACAATTGATAATTAAAAACAAAAAGGCTCTTTTTTGCCATTAAAATATAAACATAAAATAAACACTTTAAGGTATTAATAAGGAACTATAGTCACTAATTGATTAAACATATTTAAAATGATATAACAAATATCTACCTAGGTACTTTCTTTGCTAATTATTATAATTAGTTGTACCTAGATTAGTAAAGGAACTAATTATACTAAAATTATTTATTTAATAAAAAAAAGTAATGTCTCTTAGACACTTTTTTGGTACTTTGCAATTTCTGGGATAAAAAATATATTGCGTTTGTTTAATAATTTTGRGGGTGCAATTTTCTCTATCACACATTTCTTTTTATACCAGCATATATCTTCAGTGGCAGGCCATTTCCAGTTTAATCCAGAYATTGCCATTGTCTTTACCTAATTATCCAACATTTAAATTATAATATTATATGTTAGGCTCAAGATATATATAATAACAAATTATGTAGGTACTTACTTCATACTTTGAGTTTTTAAATTTTTTTATTATACTAGGAAAATATTCATCTTCATATAATATAACAATTACATGATTTCCAATATCAAATTTGCCTGTACGCAATACTGGATAGACACTTTTGATTTCAACATTACTAAAAGATAAATCATCTTCAGAGCTTGTATCATTAATAGGAGAGTCAGATTTTTTATTTTTTACAACCACTTTTTTTTTCTTTAATTTTTTTATGTTTTCAATCTCAATTTTTTTTAATATTCATGCATTGCGTTTTTCTTATATAAGACTTTCTTTTTCATTCTTCAGATTTTCTTTTTCAACCTGCATATCTTTCCAWGTTTTGCTTGTTRTTGCRTATGGAACTATAGGTCTTTTTCTTTTTAAATTTGGATTCATTTTGTTTTCTTTCGGCCAGCTGAAATGTTTATTCCATAGTGAGTTTGGTGAACTGTCTGTATGCGATTGTGAAACCTCTTGAATATTTGTAGAAGTGGAGGACTCTTGATATTCATAATGTATTTTGTTTGTTTCATTAAACATTTCTTGAATGTTGCTAGAAGTGGTGCTGGTTGAAGTTAAATGTTGAAGTTGAATATCTGTATCAGATTCAATATGTAACAAATTGTTTTCCAAAACAAGGTTTTCCATTGATTTGGAATGTTGTGTATCTATTTTGTTAAAAATATCTTGAGAATTTACAGGTGTAAGTAATTGTTCTAGTTGATTAATTGTTTCTGTTAATATTTCTGCATCAGGTAATATATCTGGTATTTTTATTATTTCAGTGTCGGATTCAATATGTAACAAATTGTTTTCAAATAGAAGGTTTTTATTTAATGTTGTTCTACTAAAGTGTTCATTGTTTTTAGTTCTGTATTTAAAAATCCAACACCCAAAGATTCTAACTCCTCTTTATTAAAAGAAAAATTTGTATTTATTTCTACAGGTAAGTCTAAAATGTCAAAGGAGTTACATGTCGTTGACATTTCTGTATTCATATTATCCACACACAATTTAGAGGCGTTCCAAACTTTTGTAAGATATATTTCTTTACTCATAAYATCTTCCACATTATAATCCTTAAGTACATAATTAATAACTTTCTGACATGATAGGTAGTCTTCATTACTTGGAGTTAATGATATTTCTAGAATTTCTTCACTGTTTATTTCAGCTTGCCTAGTTGGAATACATTTTTGATAGTCAACAGCATCAGGATTTAGTGGAAAAASCCCACATGCTCTAAAACCAYTAATAATTGACTCGGGTTTAACTTTTTCAAATGCTTTTTGAAATAAAATTCCAAAATTATTTTTTGTTATTGGACTATTAGAATTTAAATTGTGTTCCTTTGTTACTTCTTTCCAATAAGATTTTAATGGTTTAAATATAGACACATCACAGGGTTGTAGAATATGAGTAGCATTAGAAGGAAGGCAGTATAAATGTATGTTTTTTTCTGAACAAAATTCAGTCAATTCTAAGCTCAAATGGCTTTTATGACCATCTAAATAAATAATAACTGGAAAGTCAACTTTTTGATTAATTAACCAAGGATACAAAACATTGGCAATATATTCAAAAAATGTTGCGGATACCATCCACCCACTGTCTGAGCGTCCAATACTCCATGTATCTGGCACTGTCTGGGAAATATGAGTTGGAATTTTTTTGTATGGGTAGATAATAAGTGGAGGTAATGACGAACCATCTGCAGAATAGGTGCAAAGCACAKTGATGTTTTCTTTTTCACCACTCTTAGCAATTTCATAGAAATTAGGCATACTTCTTGGCCCTAATACTTTTCCAGATTTAGGGCATAGTTGTAATCCAGTCTCATCACAATTGATAACTCTGCGACCGTCTTCCAATATATCTAAGCAATCTTGTTCTGTTAAATATGATAAAAYATCAGCAAACCAGTACCTAATAGATGTTTCGGTAACTGCTGCCCTAGATTTAGAAATTAATTCAGTGTTTCGTTTTGCGATACTTTGATGTCTTTTAAGAAATAAATTAAACCACTTTATACCAGGGCGATCATCTGTAAAAGGATTAGGTTTTATTTAATTCTTTTAAGAGTTTTTGAATTGAATCTTTTAATGTTTCTGGATGTATTGGAAAACCTACTCTTGCCTTAGCTAATATCCATTTTACAATTCTATTTTCCTCGCTATCTGATAGGACAGTTGGAGGACCCATTTTCCGATTCATAGGTACTTTATTATTTATTTTATTACTTAATGTAGACTTGGGAATACCTGTTTCTCTGTGAACTTCATTTAAAGTTTTTTCTTTATTTTTTATAGAAGAAACAGCACTAATCAAATCAGCTTGAGTATATTTGAATCTGAGATATGATTTCTTAGAAATCTTTTCAACATCATTGYAATCACCCATAATCCTATTTTATTTAAAATTGTATTAAGTAACTTTATAAGTTATAGCAATTTGTAACAATTATTGTATTATATTCAATTAATGAATGTAATTTAAACGAAATTA